AATCATGGGTACAGGAGTAATCTAATGATTCACTTTTGACCTCTTCCAAAACTTGCAGATCTGGTTTTTTGTGTGCTGTTGTACTAAGCTGCGCCACTTCTACCAGCAAAGCCAAAAGAAAACTTTTTTTAACAAATCCTGGAGTGGTGTGGGTCTCTTAGACCCTCTGTGATATGCAAGTAAGCATACACAAAATCAGTTAGATGGAGCACAATGTGGGTAAAAATACCATTTTGCCACTTTTGCACATGTGTGTACACCTTGCCTTTTGTCACACCAAAGTAGCTAAACACATAGATTGACTCCTGTATCCCTCAGGAAAGATACTGAGATGCAACAGCTACTATTAAGCTAAAGAACAAATTTACAGTAGAAAAGTAAGGGAGGGGACCACTGAATGCAGTGTTGTGTTCCATGGCAAAGGTATCCTGAAGTCAGATCATGAAGTATAGTACTTTAGTATACTACAGCTCTCACTGAATTATGTAACCTTTTCCTCTGAATTGTTATGCTACTGTACTTTTTTTTTTTTTTTTTTTTTTTTGTCTTTTTCCTTTTTATCGGTACTGGGGATCAAACTCACGACTGCCTACTTGCAAGGCAGGTGCTTATGCCGCTGAGCTAAATCCCCAGCCCCTCTACTGTACTTTTTTTAAAACACATTTTCACATCTAGTCTTGTTTCTGACCATTCTGTTCCATTTGTATTTTTAATCCTTCACTCATACCAATCATTATACTATATTAATTTTTAAAGATTTTCTAAGATTCGACATCAGACTACTTTCTGCACAAAGCAATCTCAGACACTATAGACAAGTGATGTTTATAAGTCAGAGGTTTATTTTTTAACTATTTTATTTTATTCTGTTTTAGTACATGTTTATAATATACAGTCATTACATTCACTGTGGGGTTTTGGTTTATGTACATAACACACTTCAGTTCTCTTTCTTTTCTCCTTTAGTCTGTCTTATTTTTTGAGCATCAGATTCATTTAGCATATATACAGATTAAAGGCCAAGGAACATATAATACATGTATGACATTTGTACTAAGTCAAATTGTCTGTCCTTTATTTTGTACTTCATAGATTTTTTTTCATGCAACAGAACTATGTAATATGCTTGAGTCTGAGTTATTTCACTTGACATGGTTTCACAGTGCATCCATTTTCCTATGAATGACTCAAGTTTACACTTCTGGTAGAGTAACTCCATTGTGTGTAAATAGCACATTTTCTTTATCCATTCATCTGTTGATGGACGTACAGGCTGTTTTCAGGACTTAGTATTGTAAATTGTGTTGCTATAGACATTGTGGTATGATACGTTTAGCTCCTTTGGGAAGATACCTAGAATAGTAATAGCTGAGTCAAATGAAATTTCCATTTTTAGCTTTGAGGAAAAATTTCCAAACTGATTTGTATAGTGGCTATATCAGTTTGCAGTTCCCAGCATTTCTTATTGGTTCATTTCTTAAGGATGACCATTCTTTCTGGAGTGGGATAGAGTTTCAGTGTTGTTTTAATTTTCATTTCTTGAATGGCCAGTGATGCTGAACATTCTTTATGTGTTTATTTGCCATATTGTATTTCTTCATCTGGTAAGTGTCCATTCATTTTAGATACCCATTTTTTAATTGAATCTTTAAGTTGGGGGGGGTCTAACTTTTTTAGTACTTGCTATACCCTGGATATTAGTCCTTTGAAGAGTATCTGGCAAATTTTTTTTCCATTCTGTAGGTTGTCTCTTCACTCTGTTTGTAGTGTTCTTTGCTATGCAGAAGCTTTTTAATTTGACATGATTTCATTTGTTGATTCTTGGTATTATTTCTTGTGCAGTCAATGTTTTGTTCAGATTTTGCCAACTGTGTCTTCAAGAGTTCTACCTACTTTGTCTTCCAAAAGATTGAGTGTTTCTGTGGTCATGTTTGGATCTTCATCCATTTTGATTTTAGCTTAGTATGTGGTGAGACATATAGGTCTAGATTGATCTTCAATGTGTGCATAACCAGTTTTCTTGATGCCATTTCTTAAAGATTCTATCTTTCCTCCAGTGAAGGGATTACCCCTTTGTCAAAGATAAGGTGACTGAGTGTGCCTGAAGTTATTTCTGTATCTTCCATTCTGTCCCACTGATCCACAAGTCTGGTTTTGTTTGTTTGTTTGGGGGTGTTTTTGGCAATACAGTACCATGCTGTTTTTATCACCATAGCTTTGTGATACAAATTCATATCTGGGACTGTGATGCCCCCTCCCTTTCCCATGTTGCCCATAATTCTTTTTGTTATTGTAGGTCTCTTCTGTTTCCACATGAATTTTAAGGTTGCTTTCTGTAGTTCTCATTTTTTATTTTATTTTATTTTATTTTATTTTATTTAAAAGAGAAATAAAATAAAAAAGGAAACAAAAGGGACAAACCAACAACAAACCCAAAACAGTAACAATGTAGACTTTCAAAACAACATGATAGGGTTTTCTCCAGTTCTATAAGACATGTTACTGTTACTTTGGGATTACATTAAATCTCTGTAATAGTTTTGGAAATATAGTCACTTTAACTGTATTAATTCTTCCTATCCAGGAACAGGGAGTATCTTTCCATTGTCTAATAGCCCCTTCAAGTCACCTTTTTCAGAACACCATAGTTTTCATTTTAGGGCTTTTCTTTTACTTAGTTAGATTGATTCCTAATTGTTTCATTTTTCTTAATGCTATTGTGAAAGGTATTATTTCTCTACTTTCCCTTTCAGTGAGTTTGTTACTGGTGTATAGACATGCTATTGACTTTTGAGTGTATTGGCTTTGTATCCTGCTACACTATTGAATCTGGAATTTTAGAAGTTTTTTTTTTTTTTTCAGTGTGTGCTTTAGAACAAGTGTCCTGTTAGAGTTGACATATGAATTTATTTTCCCTGTCTTTGCTAGTAATATGGGGAAAAAACAAAGCATGTATGAAGGCTACTTTGATAAGAACAATTTTTTAAAATTTGACTTCACCTCAGAAACTCATCAATTATGATAAATTTCAGTGTATGTTATAGAGACACTTATTTGTCCAGCATCACATTGATGTGTAGAAGCAGAACCCAGGATTTTTGATGCTTAAAGCAGTCTTATTTACATCATATTACTGAGATATTTTAACTATTTCATGTCTGAGCCTAGCTTTCCTTTTTCAGGCCACATAACCAAAAAAAAAAAAAAAAAAAGAAAAAGAAATGTGGGGAATATTTATAATAATTAATGATAGCTGGACATTTTTGTCAGGAGAATGTATGGAGTAGTACTGAGCTTAATCTATACCAAAAATGACAGTTTCAGTGGTATAAGGAATTTTCTGGTTGCAAAAGATAATAAATATTAGGATTGGTTGAAGAATGATTGTAAATAAGCCTTCCCTAATTAAAAAAAAAAAGTACAGAATGAATAGATTCCCCTCTACCTGTAGTATTTGAAGTTAGAATCTTACTTAATGGGGTACCAGGTAAAAGTTCATGCCAGCTCTAAGAGTCTTTAAAAGTATTAGCTAATAGGAGTTGGTGTATACATCAGTGGTAGCAAGTATGAGGCCATGGATTCAAATCTCAGCACCAAAATATATAAATGAAAAACAAACAAGTGAAAATATTTTAATTAAATCATTTAGTACAGGTAGTTATACTATTACAATATTAGTGTGTATTCAACATTATGTTCTACTCATTAGAATGAAGTGGAAAAGAATTCAGAGTGCCTGCTCTATGCCACGCTGTTTGTAGATGTTATCAGTGTACTGCAGAGAACAAAAATATTCTGTGTGTATGCGTTTGTGTTGGGGATATGTTTGTGTTGATAGTTTTAATTCAGTGAAATATCTGACCCCATGAAGCTTCATTTTAGTGAGAAGATAGACAGTAACTGTGTTAAATAAAATCATAATACTAATACATAAGAGCGTTGTAAGTACATATATAAGAAAAATATAATAAGGATAAGGAATATGTTGGGAAGAGAGTATAAATTCGGATAGAGTGGCCAGAAAAATGGCATTCGAGTAAAGAAACACAAATTCAAGAGAGAATTGGCATTCCAGGTAGAGGAACTAGGTAAGTGTAAAAGCTGTGAGACAGGAAAAAAAAGACCTGTTTGGGAAAAAATGAAGAAAGTAGTTTGCCAAGGGAACTGATAATTTGGTGTTAGAGGCATTAAAGAAGGCTCAAAGTAGGCCACATGTAGTGGTGCACATGTGTAATTACCTGAGGCAAAGGGATCCCAGGATGGGGGAAGCCTGGGAAACTTAGTGACTTAGCAAGATTCTGTCTCAAAATAAAAAAATTTTTAAAAGACAGGGTTTGGGATATAGTTCAATACAGAAGCACTGGGTTCAATTGCCAGTATCCCCCAACACATACACATGCACATGATGACTCAAAGCTTTTCACATAATTGATAGAGGAAAAATTAAATATGCTGTTTAATAAAGCGGGGAAGACTGAAGAAAACAGCTTTAGAGATGGGTTAAAATAAAGAGCTCTGTCTTAGACTAAAATCGACAATAAATACAAGCAGAAATTGGTTGTGTGGATAGTTGACTATGTAGGCAGAATTCAGGAGAAAGCTCAAGAAGAAATAACTATATATGAATCATTGGTGGTTTTGTGGTTAACAGATAGGAGAATAGATATGATTTCCAAGGAATTTGTTAATAAAAAACAGATCCAAGGACTGAAACCTGTGATATTCGTATAGTCGAAAGACTAGAGAAATTAGAAATATACAAAGATGTAGCTAGAAAACCTAGATACCAGGTGGAGAAAGTTTATGGGGGAAGATAAGTGACCAACTATCTGAGTTATTGCTCATAAATCATGGGGAAAAAAAGATTCTGGTACTCTCATTTTGGCATATTTATGAATGTATGTGTAAATACTTTGCCGTCTGATTTCAATATGTGCCCCCTTGAGTCTTTGTGAGTTACTTTAATTTTTTAATAATTTTATCTATGTCTGATACTGTAGGAGAATCCAAACCCACATATGGCATTTCAGAAAGTTCCACGCCCAACAGAAGGATCGCACTTGCGTGTTCACATTCTCCCTTTTCCAAAGATTAATGAAGCTCTGGTTCAGGAATTAATACAGGAAAATTTTGCCAAGAATCAGAATGCACCTCCTGCTACGCGGATGGAGAAGAAATGTATTGTGCCAGCAGGTCCACCTGTTGGTATGTATTTGTTTGTCTGTCTGTTTTATAAGTAAACTTTTTATCAAGCTATAACAGAAATACAGGTATACAATTTGATGAATTTTCACAAACTGAACAAACTCATATAATTTAGAATCATTGTCAATCAGAAGCTCTGTTCCACTCACTGTCACTCACAAAGAATGATCATTAACCCCACTGCTACCACTATAAAATCTTTTCTTTGTTGTGATACAACTCACATACCATAAATTCTTCCATGTAAGTATGTATATTTCCAGAGTTGTTCAACCAGTATCACGTTTCAGAACATTTCAATAAGCCAAATAGAAATTCTATATCTGTTATTAACAATAACTTCCTGTTTACTACCAAAACCTTCTCCCTACATTTAGACAGTAATCTACTTTCTTTTTTTATGACTGAATAATATGGATATTTACCACATTTTTTGTCCATTTATCAGATCATAGATGTTTGGGATAGTTCAAGTTTTGGGCTATTACAGATAATACTGATGTGAGCATTAATTTTCAGTTTTTCATGTGGACATTATATTTTCATTTCATTAGGAACATACCTATGAGTAGAATTGCTGGGTTGATAGTAATTAATTTGTATCTGATGTATTGAGGAACTGTCAAACTTTTCAAGAGCTGCTATATCATTTAGCATTGTATAACGATACTTAACAATGTATAAGGATGTATAAGCAATGTACAGTGTATAAGGATATATAAGTAATGTATAAGGATGCTGACTTTTTCCACAGTCACTGATGTCCAATAGACATCTTCCTATGTTTATTGTACATTAAATATCTTCATTAAATAAATATTTGTCTTAACTTTAAATTGGAGTATTTGTCTTTTTATTATTGAGTTACTACAGTTCTCTGTGTATTCTACATTCAAGGTCCTTATCAGATATATGATTTACAAGTATTTTCTCTCATTTTGTGGGTTGTCTTTCTTTACTGATCTTTCTTTCTACCTACTGGGGAGATGTGTTAAAGTCTCCTATTATAATAGCTGAGTTTTCTCTTTCCCATTTTAGTTCTATCCCTGTTTTTCTTGATATGTTTTACAGTTGATTTATATGTACAAGTATTATAGCATCCTCTCGTGATTAATCCATTTATCATTGCAAAATATGAATTAGATTATATCCTCCAAAGGCAAATTATAATTCTCAGGTAACAAACATGCTCTTTAGAAGAAAATGTGTTTTCCAATAGCTAAAGAAAATTTTAAGTTCCGCTAAATAGGTTTAAAAATTTATAAACAGAATCACGTTGCTCACAAAAAAAGTATGTGGTATTATTTGGAAACTATAAGAAAGTTTTCTATGTGATACAGATAGATTGCTATTTCAGTACATGCCACTGAGCTACATGTGTATAAAGCACCAGAGCCCACAATTAACAGGGGCATTTCAGACAGCAAACCCGTGTGATATAATCAGTTTAACCATTATAGTCATGTAGAAAATTAATGTTACATGATTAGAAATTATTTAAAGAAAACTGTTAAAATCCAAGTAAGGACCATAATATAGTTCATTGTATTATATCAGTTGATTTCCTGAGTCTGATAAGGCACTACAGTTATATAAGATGTCATCATGGGAGAAATGGGCAATATGTATATAGATCCTTTTTGTACTCTATTTGCAGCTTTCTGTGAGCTTATGATTATTTCAGTGATTTAAAAAGTTTAAAACATTTTTTGATGAATATTAGTATACTAATGAAATTAAAGAGATGCTAATGAATAAAATAATAGGGCATATAAAGAGCCTTGACAGTGATTAATCTCAGCTCATTTATACATATGAAACAGTACTTTAAAATTGTATATTTTTTTTACAACAGTTGCTTTCATTTGTATCCTTCCAGTATTCTTTAAATAAATTAAATTTGTTTAGGTAACTATAACCTGTATCATAGGCTAGAATTTTCCAACTCACTTAATGCTGAAGATTGCAGTTTTTTGAATTTTCATATGAAATTCATTTATATTATCTAGAACAATTCAAAGAACAAGAGTTGGAAGAGAAAAAATTCATTATGTTCTATTGTAATGAGTGTTCTGAAAATTGAACACTAGGCATTGAAGGATTAAGTGGAAAATGGTATTAAATTTGCTGAATTAAAAAAGCACTGAAATGTAATTTTTTTTTTTTTTTTTTTGTCTTTTTCACTTTTATCGGTACCAGGGATCGAACTCACGACTGCCTGCTTACAAGGCAGGCGCTTAGGCCGCTGAGCTAAATCCCCAGCCCCTGAAATGTAACTTTTGTAAGCCAGTGTAGCAATTCATTGGTTATGATCATTCTTCTTTTAGTACTATTTCTTGCCTTCAAGGTTCTTCCATTCCAATTTGTAGTGTTTAATTTGGTGGGGGGAAGATATAGTTTCTTCTTTGTAATGTCTTAGAAATAATTTCTATTTCTTTCAGTGGTCTTCTCACATATGATTATTGTTTTATTTTTATTGTTACCCCATACCCATATCATGTTTGTTTATAAGTAGCTTTTTATCGTGTTTAATGAAATTTTATTTTATAGTGAATAAATTTGTATAATCTAAGCATATCATTAGACTATCATGTGACATTATTCTTTGACTAGTCTGATAGTTAAAAATTAGAAAATGTAATCAAAATAATGACATGGAATTCCTTCAGTACCTTCTAAAAAAGGAAAAAATAAATTATGAATGTTGGTCATGTCAATAGTCCTAAAATAATAATTATCCTTGCTTCTGTAATTGGCAGAGAAGTTTATTTGTGTTTTCTTTACATTCTTTTACTAGTTTCAATAATGGATAAAGTGACAACAGTTTTCAACAGTGCACAGAGACTGGAAGTTGTCAGGAACTGTATCTCATTCATATTTGATAAGAAAACTTTGGAGACTGAAAAGGTAATAAAATGCCATCTTTTCCAAGTAAACATTTAATCATTTCCATTTTAGATTCATTTGCTGATGTTGCCAACTTCTCTAAATTCTGTCCATTACCCTAATAAAATATCCTTTCATTGCTCAGTCACTTTAAATGAATATAATCTTAAGATTTATGTTGTAGTCTAAGCCAAATTATGTAGCCACAAGAGAAATATACAAATTATGGTAATATTTTTCCCTTGAACTTTAAAACCTAATTGTTCTTTAAACCCTAATTTGACTTATTACTTAGAAATTTAATATTTAAATGTAATTTCATTTATTGCAAAGAATCTAGATTGTGTCATAGATTATAAAAACTGGTATTAAACTTACATATCTCCTTAAATTTTCTTACTTCATTGAAACTTGCTGAATATAATACAGCCTTCCCTTACTAGTTTACTATGTCATAGTTTTAAACATTTGCTTCAGGGAGTGCTAAGACATGTACAGGTGTTTACCCTTATAGTAAATGACTCTTGCCTATATAGGATTTGCCCTCCTTCTCTACCTTCTTTCCTTTTATTTCTATTTTTTTTATGATGGAAATGTAGACTTTCTTTTGCTTCTCTTTCAGCTTTTACATGGTAATGTTTTGTTAAGCTAAGGAAAAAAGCAAATTTAATGTTTTGTTTTTTTTTCATTTTACCATATAAGCTAGTTCTACTTACCTTTCATCATGGCTTACAAATAAGAATAATCACAAATATATTTCTTAATAGTGTTAATAGCAAATTACTTCTTCCCTAGTGATTTAATTTTACTAGTAACTTCATTAAATAGTTGACATAATTAATTTGAGTATTCATTGTTGTTGTTTCAGTTTTTTTCCCCAGTGGTACGTTTTGGTCACTTGTAAATCTCTTGTCCTCAGACCCTTCCTGCTGCATTGAGGGCTCTTAAAGGAAAGGCAGCAAGACAGTGTCTCACAGATGAACTGGGTTTACACGTCCAGCAAAACCGGGCGATATTGGACCATCAACAATTTGATTACATAATAAGGATGATGAATTGTACTCTACAGGTAATTTTTAGCCCTTTCAGATTACTCACCATGTTTAAGAATACTTTTATTTTTCCAGGATCTTTAGTAGTAACCAACATTTTAAGTTCTTAAGGCTTGTCACAGCTTATAGAATGAAGACCAAGTATCCATACTGTTTTCCTTAGAAATGTTTACTCATTTCTTTTCATAAATATTGTTTTCCATTCTTTTGTTGTTTTCTCTTGAAAAATAGTAGGTTGTTTTGTTAGTTTTATAAGATAGCTTTTTGAAAAGTTATTTTTAAAGCACTAAGTCATAAATTTATGGTCACAACAGCCCTTTTCAGACAATTGTTAGTTGTGCTAAAGCCAGTGAGCAATTAATGGTGGATAATTCAAATGATGAATGAATTTATTATTTACCAAAGAATTTGTAAGTATAAAGTACAACAGAATTTTCTGTTGGTTTTGTTTTTTAAAATGTGTGTGATTTATAGAGATACGTATCAAAAAAATAATAAAGACCTGAATTAGGTGAAGCAGTTAATCTGATTTTCTTATTAGTTTTTCTAAGATACTAGCATCCTTTTCTCTACAACTGATGCAAAAATCCTTTTGGAAGAAAAAAAATACTTAAATACTGAAAATTCAAAAACTAAATATGGGATTCTAAATAAATAAAATGCATGTAAAGTAACATTATATTAAAAAGGAAAAATTACAGGATATACTAGTAAAATTTGTAGGTGAAAGAAAGCTTAAATAAATAAGAAAATATACCATGTTCTGGATTGATAACTTCATATAATAAAGGTGCCAGTCCTCCCCAAAATAATCTAAAGAGGCAGTATAATTCCTATGCCAAGTAGAAACGCAAAGGTATTATAATTGCCAGCATACTGCTAGAAAATAACAACCAAAGAATGAAAATTTACCTTATTAGTAATCAAAAAAGTTGTTTAAGATTATAATAATTAAGACAGTGTGAAGTTTATATTACTCAAATTACCAATAGAATCATGATCTACAAAACAGATACTATACATGTAGTATAGTACTTGTACTTGTGACTTATGGCAGAGTTAGTACCTTAGACCAGTGACAATACGATGAGCAATTCAATAAATAGTGGTGAATGTCTGGGTAACCACATACAGTGAAACAAGTTCACAAAGACTGGTTGTAACTCAAGGTGATTAGAAGTCAAGACTATTTTCCCTTAAGAAATAATGGAAATATCCATAGTGTATTCCAAACCTCCCAAAGCACTCCCTAACTAATCTTTTCATGATAAGAGGGTTGCACAGTGTACATAATTTAGTAGAGATACCAATAATTTTCCTAGTGTATTCACCAAAAAATTATAAAATATGCATTAGGTTACCAGAAACACCAGTTTCATAATGTGCTCATTAGCACCATTCAAGTTGACGTCTTTAGCTTGCAGGAAGGGAGAATGAAATGAAAGGTGGTTATTGTTTGGAAGGAGAGTTCCCTTCCATAAAAATATCAGTAAACCAGTTGTGGTGGCATACACCTGTAATCCCAGCACTGTGGAGGCTGAGGAAAAAGATAGTTGTAAGTTCAAGACCAGCCTGGACTACAAAGTGAGCTCAAGGCCAGCCTGAACTGCATAGTGAGACCCTGTCTCAAACAAAACAAAACAACAACAAAAAGAAAGAAAGGAAGGGCTGGGGATTTAGCTCAGAGGTATCAGTGCCTGCCTGGAAAGTGTGAGGTCATAAGTTTGATCCCTGGTACCCCCACCCCCCAAAAAAAAAGGGAATCTGGATCTCTGGTGTCATTTCTGTCCTGGCGAGAGTCTATAGTCCACTACTACCTGCTTCTGGCTCACTAGATCTTAACCTTTTCAGAACTAAAAACTGTTCTAAGGTTGCCTGTTTTGGTCTTTTTAACACTATTCTGTGGTATGACACGACATTGTCATTAAGCAAGTAAATGCAGCAATTAATTTTTTCTCTGGGTGGATCTTCTCTATGAAGGCTTGTGGTTCCATTTTTTCAGAATTTCCTTTATTTTAGAGAAGTTTGTTGCATTGGTTGTTGAGGCTCCCCTTCCTCTTTAGGAAGCTCCTCAGCTGCCATTCTATGTTGCTCAGCCAGAAGTTGCTAAAGTTCCTCTGAGACAAGTTCTCTGAATGTCTCTTAATATCATCATTGTCAATCTGCAAGGCTATAGATTCTACTATAGTGATAGCGTCATCAATCACAGGATCATTTGAAGGTGCAAACTCCTCCACATAGCCTTGAAAAGTCTCTCTCCTCTATAATTTTAAACCATACTTTCTTCCAAACAGACCTGATTGTCCATAGTATATTCTAAACCTCTGAAAGCACCCCCTAACTAATCTTTTCATGATAAGAGGTTTGTACAGTGTATAGGGACATTGACCCAGGATTTCTCAATTAAACCCACATAGGAAAAGATGTTGAAATGTTCCTTTTGGAACTTTTTAAGGGTTAAATCTGTACCTGAGACTATCTAAAAGCACTTTAGGAACAGCTCTTTGGTATATACTTTCTTAAAGTTACTTGTAACCTCCTGGTCCATACACTACAATAGAGGAGTTGTATTAGGTGGGAGGAACTTGACTGATAGCTATCAGAATTCCTCAGCCAATTCTTTTTCTAAATCTCATGGATGAACAGGAACATTTTCCATGATGAGGAGAGTCTTGAGTGGTAAACCTTAATCTTGTATTTATTAATAGTACGACAGAAAACTTCCCTGCTCCACTCAAGAAAAAGTACTTTTTGTTACCCAGGTTTTTGCATTAGATCTCCAGTAGATCCCTAGTCTATGCATGACCTTATGTTTTCTGAACGTTCTCAAAGTGATACACCAAGAGAGGCTTTTTCTTGAGGTTTCCATTAACATTGGCACATAGAAGTAAGGTTAGACTGTTCTTCTTAGGCTTGTGCCCTGGTATTTTCTACTCTTTATAAGTAATGTATGTTATCATGGGCATTTTCTTCCAGAAAAGGACAGTTTCATCACAGATAAAAATCTGATGAGAGTAAAAGCCATTTCTCTGTGTCATCATTTTGAAGTAGGATGATTTTCATCAGCCTTTTATCATTACTGGCTGCTTTACCATGCCCAATTACTCTGTGAACCCAGTTCTTGCTTTAAAATTGTGAAAATACCCCCTTAGTGGCACAAAATGGTTCACTCATTGATGGGTTAGCCTTTATAAGATCTGTATTTCTAGCCCTGGCTTTTTCACATATTACAAACTGAAGCTACCAGCATATACCTTTTGCTTACTCATACTAATAATAGCTTTTCTATCTTGTTTGACATTGTAGTTTGTAACTTACTAATTTGAGTAACGTAGTTAGCAACACTAGCTTCCTTATATAAATGCTTTCTCTTGTAAGATTATCAAGATGATGAATTTCATATTAGCAAGATCAATCGCATAAACTTTCTTATTTCTCTACAGTTTCCTTCTTTTTGATTCTGATTGCTTTTTTTTAACCTTTCCTTCCTTCCTTAATTTCTTTTCTAGCTTTTTTTGAGGCCATTTTGATAGCAGTAATTATAGTGATTATATAAAGTACTGACCAAATCTCATCTACAGTCACATGCATCTGGGCTGACTGATGCTTACAGATACTTACGTACACTATTCTGGCATCGCAAGTCTGTTTATAAGCACACAAGTTACAACCACAATGCCATACCTGGCATTCAGGTTGAAATTCACGAATTTGGTTTCAGAAGCAAAATATAACCCCAGACCTCCAACCCACCAAGGACAAGTCCAGGGAACAATGAGATAGAGGAAATAAGAAACAACACACCTAAATTTTCTGAAGTAAAAAAAAAGAAGAAGAAGAAGAAACCATGCATGAGATGAATGAGGCTATAGAGAAAATCAGATCAGAAATAATGTCTCTAGTTAAAACTAAAAAGAAGATGACAATCAATATGAAAGCTATGGATATAGCTCAGAAGCATAATGCCTGCCTGGCAAGCACAAGGTCATGAGTGCACTCTCCAGTACCAAAAAAAAAAGAAGATGAAGAAGGAGGAGGAGGAGGAAGGTGGAAAAGGGAAGAGGAGGAGGGGAGGGGGAGGAGGAGAACTTGCTCAGTGACTCATTTAAATCTTCTTGAAATCTGAGCAGACACAGATTAAAAAAAAATAGAAGAGCTTAGGAAAATGATGGAAACTATAAATGTCCGACATAGAAAAGAAATGGAGCACATGAATCAGATTCAAACAGATATCCGCTGAAAGTAGTTGCAACCTAATGAACCAAGGTGAGGATAGAATATCAGATCTAGAAGAAAGGTTATGATCACAAAAAGAAAGATTTCATAAAAATACTGAGGAACTATGAAAGTCAATCTAAAAACTGTGAGACAATGTAAAGAAGAACAGCACAACATCAGTCAGAGTCAGTGGTAAAGCAGGCAACAGCACAAAACTACATAAACATATGGAGAATAACACCCTCCTGAACAACGATTGGGTTACAGATGAAATTAAAGAAGAAATAAGACAGTTTCTACAATTAAACCACAATGCCAATACCAGAATCAATACCAGCATCAGGATGGGTCTAAGCTATACCCACAGCCCTTCATATTGATCATCATCTTTTTTTTAGTTTTAATAGTAAAGCTGTCTTATGAGGAAATGTATAGCAGTGAAGTCTCACAACAGGAAAATCGAGTGAGCTCAAATAACAACCTAACGTTGAGCCTCAGACTTCTAGAAGAAGAGGAAATCAAGTCCAAAGCTCTTTTAGGACATACTTTTCTGTTAAGTGTCTAAGACAGAGGTAAAGTGAGATCTGTGTTAATTAAAAATAACTCTTGCTGTCTATCAAGGTCAGTTAAGTCTCTTCAGGTATTATTTTGGAGCTATACATAGAGCCTTTCTGTTCCTCTGTCAATGTCAGCATCAGGATGGATCATAGACTTACTTGACCATATTGTTTCTTGTTAAAGCATAGAAGACTTTTCCTTCTTGGTGAGCCTCCTTTGGCACACTGTATACTTGTTGATT